GAACCCGGTGTGCCTATTGAGCCACGGCGCCGGCCACGGCTGTTCCACTTCTGATACAGCTCTCTGCTAATGGCCTGAGAAAGCAGTAGAAAATGGCCCAAGTTCTTGGGCCCCAGCACCCACGTGGGAGACCAGGAGGAGGCTCCTGGCTCCTGGCTTTGGATTGGCCCAGCTCTGGCCATTGCGGCCATCTCGGGGAGTGAACCAGTAGATGGACGATCTCTCTCTGCCTCTGCCTTTCTGTAACTGCCTTTCAAATAAATAAATAAATCTTTAAAAATAAATGGAAGGAAGGAGGGAGGGAGGGAGGAAGGAAGAAAGGAAGAAAGGAAGGAAGGCAGGCCCAGGAAGGGAAACAGGAAGGAGCAATTCCAATGTCATTAAAAAAAAAAAAAAAAAAAAAAGACCAGGTGAGACCATGGCACCCTGGGGCCAAGCAACCATGAGCAACATGTATGTTATACATTTGCCTAAAGTCCAAGAGAGTGCCCATCTCCCTAAGTCATTCAAAGTCAGACTTTCCTTGGATAAGGACAGAGAGAGCATATGTATTGAGTGCTTGTGATGTCCAAGGTTCTCTTTCAGAGTGTTATATGGCACTCGTTGATTAATTAATGAAAAAATTTTATTTCTTTTCATTTTTTTTGGAAGGCAGAGAGAGAGATCTTCCACCTGCTGGTTCATTTCTCAAATGCCCTCCAAAGCCAGGGCTGGGCCAGGCCAAAGCCAGGAGCCCAGAACACCCATGTGGGTGCCAGGGACCTAGGTACTTGAGCCATCATCTGCTGCCTCTCAGACTGTAATATAGTAGGAAACTGGATTGGAAGTGGAGTAGCCAGGGCTCAAACCAGGCACTCTGACATGGGACGCAGGCATGCCAAGCACCTGACTGAAGCTGCTGAGTCAAACACCCACCCCTATTCGTTCATCTTAATTCCCAGAGACAGCCCCATGTGGTGAGGGAGCTTGCTTAAGGTCACCACATTTTTCCAAGGACAGCTATCCCAGCAGGGTCCCAGGCCGCGGCAGCAGGCGCTTTTCTAATGCGGGGACTTGGTGTCTTGCCCAGCTAAGCCTGAGGGTGAAGGCTTTGAAGCGGCAGGTGGATGAAGCGGAAGAGGAAATCGAGCGGCTGGACGGCCTGAGGAAGAAGGCCCAGCGCGAGCTGGAGGAGCAGCACGAGGTCAACGAGCAGCTGCAGGCCCGGATCAAGTCCCTGGAGAAGGACTCCTGGTAAGGGCCGCCCCCCACCCCGCCCCGCCGCAGCTGGAGCAGGAGGGGACCAGCCTCTCCCACGCTGGATGAGTGGCAGCTCTAAGCTGCGACTACGTGGTCACGTGGTCCTGGCTGGAAGCCGGCGTGCTGGTTTCTGAGTGTCTCAGCCCCCGTCCTGCACCCTGTCTCTCCAGACCTCCAACTGTGCATTACTTCAAGCCTCAGAAGCACGTGAGCGGCCTTAGCACGCTAAGCGTGGCTGTGTCAACCTTTCCCATCGCCCTCCCTCACCGGTGTCCTCTCTCTCACTCAGGCGCAAGGCTTCCCGCTCAGCTGCTGAGTCAACGCTCAAACACGAGGGGCTGAGCTCAGATGAGGAGTTCGACAGTGTCTACGACCCCTCGTCCATCGCCTCTCTGCTTACGGAGAGCAACCTGCAGACCAGCTCCTGTTAGCTTGTGGGCCTCACGGGTCCAGAAACTAGGCTCGAGGCCTACCCTGGCCAGCCCTCCTCTGCCCTGCGCGTCTCACTTTCCTCCTTGGGGGTGGCCTGGTTACTCAGCTCCCCGATCCGGAGGGCTCTGTGATGGCGATAGAAAGACAGCAGTTATAAACGGATGCCTGGGCTTTTCTCTCCCCACTGGAGGTCGTTTGAGCCCTTCCCCTAAGTGCCGATCCCCCCTTCACTGCCCTCGCGGTGGGAGGCTAGTGAGCGCGCAGCCTGCGGTGGAGGGGGAGTGCTGAGCAGGAGAGGAGGGAGTAGAAATTGCCATGTGTATATAGCTTTATTTCTTTAGCCCTTCACCCCAAGGCTCGGGGAGATTCCCTGTGATACTCTCCCTGAATTCCTACGACCCATTTCTTCGTCCTCGGGAGCAAGGTGAGGGAGACGTGACAGGTAACGGCCACGCAGGCGTGGCTCTGCCCACCTCGCAGATGCTCCTCTTTGCACAGCCCCAGGGGCCCACGTGGTGCCCCCACGCCCCTCCAGTTCCTCTGTTTTTGTTTCCTCCAAGCCAGCAGGTCCAAGGGACCCTCTATCCCCTCTCCTCCCATTTCGGCCATTCCTATGCTGCTCCTTCCCTCTCAGTGCCTTAGCCAGGGTGAGGAGATAAGGATGCTCTTCTTGCCTTTTGTATCTGCACATTCATACCTCTGCCAAGACCAGCCTGTCGCCTGCTGGCACCCTCAGCTCTCCCCGCTGCCCCGGTGACGAATCGAGAGCCACCTGCTTCTCTGGCAGACGGACTTTGTGTAGGGCCGTGAGAAGGTGGTGGGGGCTGGGGTCTGCTCAGGGCTTCCGTCCTCCCTCCTCTGTGACTACCGAGGTGGTTTTGAAGGAGCTGCACCTGGGAGCCCTGACTGTGGTCTTTACCAGTTCCAAAGCAATGGTCCCACTCTCTGCAGTCTTCCTGTGGCTTCTCTACCCAGATGCCCCCAGTCTCAGTAGGGAACCAAGGGACCTTCATTTTCTCAGGAACTTGGCCCTGGTTCGGGGTTTTTTCCTGGGCCCAGAAGGTGACTCTTGACAGAACTGGAACGAGGCGATGGGAGACTTCCTCCTCCTTTGGGTTTTGGGGGGACTGAAGCCCTGGCAGGGAGGGGGTTAGAGGGATGATTCACCTCGCATTTCCTGGCAGGTCCCGTGGGCAGCCTGCAGAAGGAGGCTGTTCTCACCAACGACTTGTAATTTCATGATTTTAAAAAACTCTTATTTTCTTCTGCAAATCAGACATTCTCTTCCAATCCAATGCAACCTTGACTGTACTTTAAATTAAATATTAAAATTATATATCTGCGTTGAGATTCTTGGCTTTGTATTCTTTTTCCTGGGCTATTTGGAAGTCCATGTTTCAGGAAGAAGTAATTTTATTGAACAGCTCAGAGGCTGAAACTGGAGTTTTCTTGACAGTGCTTTTCAAAGGCCCTTTACAACAGATAGAATGGGACCTTGGAGCTTAGGAAGTGTTCATAGCATTCTCCATTCTCTCCTGAATAACCTTCTGGGAATAGCAAGGCCAGAAAATGCCTTCTTAGGGAGCCAGTGCTATGGTGTAGAAGGTTAAGCCTCTGCCTGTAGTGCCAGCATCCCATGAGAGTGCCAGTTCAAGTCCCAGCTGCTCCACTTCTGATCCAGCTCCCTGCTAATGGCCTGGGAAGGCAGTGGAAGATGGCCCAAGTTCTTGGGCCCCTGCATCCATGTTGGAGACCCGGAAGAAGCTCTTGGCTCCTGGCTTTGGATCTGCCTAGCTCCAGCCATTGCAGTCATTTGGGGAGTGAACCAGCAGATGAAGATCTCTGTCTCTTTCCTTCTATTTCTGCCTTTCAAATAAATAAATAAATCTTTAAAAAAAAAAAAAAAGGGCCGGCGCCGCGGCTCACTAGGCTAATCCTCCGCCTAGCGGCGCCGGCATACCGGGTTCTAGTCCCGGTCGGGGCGCCGGATTCTGTCCCGGTTGCCCCTCTTCCAGGCCAGCCCTCTGCTGTGGCCAGGGAGTGCAGTGGAGGATGGCCCAGGTGCTTGGGCCCTGCACCCCATGGGAGACCAGGAAAAGCACCTGGCTCCTGGCTCCTGCCATCGGATCAGCGCGGTGCGCCGGCCGCAGCGCGCCGGCCGCGGCGGCCATTGGAGGGTGAACCAACGGCAAAGGAAGACCTTTCTCTCTGTCTCTCTCTCTCACTGTCCACTCTGCCTGTCAAAAAATAAATAAATAAATAAAATAAAATTAAAAAAAAAAAAAAAAAAAAAAAAAAAGAAAAAAAAAAAAAAAAAAAGAAGATGCCTTCTTTGAGAGTTAGAGGGAGAACACACCAGAATAAGGTTTTATTCCCTTGAGTCACAAAGATATCTCCAGCATTCACCTCTTGGGTAAAAAGATCACCAGCCATTCCCGATTGGCCTGGATGTAGTCTTTACCTTGTGTGTTGGGGAATCCTGCCCTTGTGTTGCCTTGAAGAAGGCAGCGAGCCCTTCACTTGAGCCTATTGCCAGATATTGGGACGCTGTCCACTCTAGAGGGGGTCAGACCTGCCTCTGACATATCTGCGGGCTGTTGGTGTGGGTCATAGGCCAGTGGAGCAGCCCCCTGCTGAGAGCAGCTGGGCTGGGAAGAGGCTCCAGGTTCTGCTTGGCTAACCTAGGCCTCAATATCCCAGCCTAAGCTTGGGGAGCAAATGCCATTGGAAGGCTGAGGCTCAGCCTTCCTCAAAACCACAGATTCCTTTAAAGGCCATGTGTCCCGCCTCTCCCTACCATATAAGGGCAGCTTTGGTATAATAGCCTCTGCAAAACAAGCCCCACCCAGAGCCTAGCTGGCTTTGACTTGGCCTGGGCGGCTTGCCAGGGAAGGGCACCTGCCAGACTGGCTTAGGCCAGTCTGAATGAGCTGGCCTTTGGTGCCCGCCTTTCTGTGGCTGAGGGAAGGTTGTCTCAGCTCCGCAAAACCTACAGGCTGGCTTATATACGGGAATGGGAAGATGTAGGGAAGCTTCTACAGGTTCCAGCTCGCCAGGGGCAGACAAGAGTGATTTCCCCTGACCAGTTCTGATGTTGGAGTTGAAAGGAGACAAGATTAACGAAGCGTATTGGGGTACAAGCACACTTCCTAGACGAAACTGTTCAGTTAAGCTGCCCAGGACGCTCCAAGCCACACCTCTACGTAAATCCGAGCGAGAGTCCACGGGGCGTGAACGAGAGCCCCTTGGCTCCGCCCATCTCACCTTCTCGCTCGTTCTAATTGGCGAACAGCGCCCGGGGGCGTGGCCTATCTTCAGGCCGCCTCCCGACGCTTCTATACAAGGGGGCAACCCGTCGCGCGCCAGCCTAGGAGAAGCCGGAGAAGTGGGGTTGGGGGCTGAGGCTGTGCTGCGGGCCCCCGCAGGAAGAAGATGAACGGGACGCGGAACTGGTGTACACTGGTGGACGTGCAGCCGGAGGGCCAGCCCGCGGTAAGAAGGCGCTCGGCGCTGTCCTCGTGTGCTCTGCCCGGCGTCTGATTCCCCACTGGATGCCCCGCGCCGAGTTCGCTGACATCACCTGGTGGCCGTCTCCGTGCGCTCAGCCCTTCGCGGCGCTTCCCTTTCTGTGTCGCCTCGCGGCGGACAGCGGGAGCCCCTGGGGGTGGCGGGATGAAGACCTTTGAGGCCCAAGGCGTCCCTGCCCTTTTAGGAGGACACTGCGGCTGCCGCCTGGGACTCGGCGCCCGTAGCCTGGGCCGCGTTCTCGGGCGTCCTGTGAGTGTAGGCTCAGGGCGCGGGATCCTTGTACCCTTTCGGACATCGTGTCCCACCTGGGCCGCGTTCTCGGGCGTCCTGTGAGTGCAGGCTCAGGGGGCGGGATCCTTGTACCCTTTCGGACATCGTGTCCCACCAGGCAGACCGCGCTTTTCCGTCGGTCCTGGGGACCGCAGAAACCCTTCAGAGAATCTCCTGGCGCTTTGGGCGGAGGGTGAATACCGAAAGCTTGGGAATGGAGGGCCCGGGACGAGGCGGATGGGAGCGGTAGCACTCCTGCTGCTCCGAGAGACTGGCCAGCTCTGCCTTTCGTTAACCGGGATGGAGCTTTCCACCCGGGGGTCACCTCTCGCGGATTTCTCCTTCCCTGTTGCCGGTTTTCTGCTCCCTTCCCCCCCTTTCGGCCAACCCAGAGCTTCTGGGACGGTTTGTCGGTTTTGCTTCCGTCTCCAGCCGCCCAACCCTGGGCAGGTAGATGAAGGGGATTAGAACCTGAACTGAGAAAGGAGGGAAGTGACCCGTACGAGGGTTTCCGGTTGGCGTGAGGGTTGTGGAGAGGTGCGGCTAATGCCGATCAAGGCCATAGGCCCCCTCCCCGCATTGCCTGGCCTCCCTCCCAGTTTTCCTCCCCACCCCAACTTACCATATGTGGCTGAGCGTTTCCAGGCTGTGCTGGGGAACTTAGCATGGGTGTGTGCATTCCATCGATTTCCAAGCTTTTGCGGGTGCCAGGTGATTGGGGGTCTGTGCCACCTCCTCCATCTGATCTCCTGGCTCTCTGCCAGTCTCCGCCTGCCTCAAGGTCGAGTTTATCTAGCTGCCTCTGACTTAGGGCTCTTCTTCAAAGAGCGTGTGTGGTATAGGTGCTCATTTCAAGTTTAAGGTCCAGAGGATCATTTAATGGTGTTCACAGTCCCCCCTTCGTTTCTGCCACATTGCAATACAGATCTTGCTACTGCCCAATCGCCCGCTCCCTCAGCCGTGGGACCCTGGAGAGGTGGAAACCATCCTCCTTGCGGCTCACTGTTCTGGGATGGTTGAAGCAGGGAAGATGGTTATGAGATGGATCAAAGGAGAGTGTGCTTGGACTTCTTTTTGCTTGCTGTAGGTCCAGAGGCCGTCTTGCGATCCAGGCATTGGCAGTGTTGGAATGAATTGTCACCTTTTGCTATCCTGTCATGTTTTCGCAGCTTGTCTGTTGGGGCAGGCAGACAAGGTAGGAACATAGTGAGTAAGGAATTCAGTCTCCAGCCACAGATCAGTGTACAGCTAGGGACCTCTAGAGCAAGGGGTAGGCAGAAATTCCACTCATTCTCTTCGGAGCCTGGACTTGGGACTTACTTCACTCTCAGGCTGGTCATGAAATAACCATTGCCGGGATCGGGGAGACATTCCTGGGCCCTTAAGGAAGGGGAGGAGATGGTAAACAATCAATCAGTCAGGAAGCAGGCTGTGTCCTGGATTCCTCTCTTCTGAGCCAGCCTACAGATAGAATTTATGACCCTGCACAGTCCCCAGGAAGTTCTTGTATATTCAGACCATTGAACCAGTGCTCAGTGCATGTACAAAGTGAGTGGACAGAAATATGCGCAGATGTCTCTTCTGCAGTTGAACTGATGAGGTATCCTAGTGGGAGCTGGCATGCTGGGACCCTGTTGGTGTCTCCCCAGCAGCCAGGCCTTACTTAACGTGCTACACGTAGACATGGAAATGTGGCCGATACACTCTCCAGGTTACTTCTACTGTTGGAGACAAATGCAGTAGGTACAAGGAGCTGGTGTTTTTCAGTTGCAGATCATATAAGCATGGTGGGCTGGAACTCAACTTAGTGGGTCAGAACCGGCATACAAAAAGAAATTGAATTAATACTCTTGGAGTGTTAGCAAGGGTAGGACTTTTTGGCAAAACCTTTGTTTCAATCATAAGCATATTACACACATACATATCATGTATGTATATTATATACATACATGTTACCTATGTGTGTTTGCTTACTGGATCCTGATGTAAACTGTGTTTTTAAGTCAAAGTTTGCAAGCCACTATAGTATCTTTATACTGAAGGAAATGAATAAACCTTAAGCTTGTTTTCATTAGATATTTCCATTAAATTTCTTTGGTTACAGTAGACAACAGAGAGTGGGCCCAGCTAGCTTCAACAGAAGAGGAATCTATGAGAAAGAAATGGGTCAGCTCACAGAATTTAAGGGAAAGCTTAATAAAAAGTTCTAACCAGTGATTCCTGGGGCCTGGGAGGCAGTGATGGAGGCTTTCTGCTTCTAGGTGAATGGATTCCAGCTGTGTTAGGACTTTTTGCTCTGGGCTCCAGGGAGAGGGGGCTGCTGGCCTCTGCCTCCCCCACACGTGTTGGTAGCCGTGGAGGGGAACAGAAGCTGTATGGCGAAAGAGCAGATGTCTATGACCTTGGGCTTCGTCATGGATGATGTTTCACCCTCTTCCCCCTCCCTTGTTCTTTACTTCCATCATTTTTCATCAAAGGAATATGTGTGTATGATTTTTAAAAGATCTAATCGGGGCCAGCATTGTGGCACAGCAGGTTAAGCCGCTGCCTGTAACACCAGCACCCCTTCTGAGCACCGCTTTGAGTCCCAGCTGCTCCACTTCCATTCCAGCTCTCTGCTATGGCCTGGGAGGGCAGTGGAAGATGGCCCAAATGCTTGGGGCCCTGCACTGGGTGGAAGACCCAGATAAAGCTCCTGGCTCCTTGTTCCAGTCTGTCCAGCTGTGGCCATTGTGGCCATTTGGGGAGAGAACCAGTGAATGGAAAATCTTTTTCTCTCTCCTTCCCTTCCTCTCTCTGTAACACTTTCAAATAAATAAAATCTTAAAAAATAAAAAGATCTAATAATATCCAAAATACTTTTAAAAGAGACTAACAATCCTTACTCCAGGTTCTGCTCCAGGAAAGTAACCGCTTTCAACTCCTTTTCTAGTTCCTTTGTGTGGTGTTTGCCTCCATGTTTCTGAATAACATACTTATAGTGGTATTTCTTGATGTATTAGTTTTGGGTATCTGTTGACCTCCGGTCGTGGGAGCTTAAGGAAGATTTAAGGTGCTCCCTGCCCTTCCCTCCCAATGTAATTACATTACAATTTTTGGCTAAACTGTAACTTCTGTTAATAGCCTTGTGGTTAAGAGCATGGCTCTGGGAAGCTAAGATGGGCCAGAGTCAGGGCTCTGCTTTGCCCGAGGTCACTGTGGTAAATTACTTACTCTGGCCCATCTCAGCTTCCTGGTCTGTAAAACAGTGGCGATAACCAGACCCTTTTCACAGGTGGCCGTGAGGATTAACTAAGGTAATACACAGGAAGCATTAAGCACAGCGCCTGGTGCGTGCCTGCCTATTTGCCGCTGTTTTCCATTTGCTACGGGCCTGAGCCAGACTGTTTTAACGTCCTCTGAGATCCTGGCCAAGGGATAGAGGAAGAATCTAGAAACTCTCTGCTTCAGTCAAGCTTTGCTCCTTCTCATTATATTGACACCTGTTTCGTCTCATCTGTCCCTTTGCCTTTTCCTTGACGGTTCTGGCCCCTCTCACGGTAGAAGTTCCTGCGGATGGGAGGGGACTGTGGCTAGACCCAGGGCGAGGACTGAGTGACCTCTGGCAGTCGTCACGCAGCCAGGATGGGGCTGAGGTAGTGTGGCAGTGGTTGGGGCCCTCCTTGACCTCCCACCTGGCCCCTCCCCTCCTCTTTCCTTTTCTGACCTCGTGGCAGAGGCAGCCGGTAGCCCCTGTAGCTCTGGGCTCTTCAGGAATTAACCTGCCAGGTTACCCCTCCTTCCAATGTCTGCGTTTTTGTTTCCACGCTTCTAGTTATTGTTTTCATTGTCTTGGCCGGAGAAATTCCTTCAGCAGCTTTGTGATGTGGGCTTTCCACTAGCTGCGACCCGAGCCTTTTTATGCCGGATAGGTGACACTCCTGTAGGACCTCGGGATCTGAAGGCTTTTCCTGAGCCCTGCTCCTCTTTTTTTTTTTTTTAAACCAGAGTTGTGAGTTATTAAAGGCTGACCATGAACTTTATACATATATTTTTTAAAAGATTTATTTGTTTATTTGAAAAGCAGAGTGACAGAGAGCGAGATTGATCTTCCATCCTCTGGTTCAGTCCCCAAATGGCCTGTGCAGCAGGGGCTGGCCCAGGCTGAAGCCAGGAGCCTGGAACTCCATCTGGGTCTCCCACGTGGGTACAGGGGCCCAAGCAACTTGGGCCATCTTCTGCTGCTTTCCCAGGTGCATTAGCAGGGAGCTGGATCAGAAGTGGAGCAGCCAGGACTTGAACCAGCACTGATACAGGATGCTGGGGTCACAGGCAGCAGCCTAACCCCTGGAACTCCAGTTTTGGCCCCTGAACTTAATGTATTTTTATAACAGCTTTGAGATATAATTTATATATCATTCAATTCACCCATGTAAAGTGTACAGCTCACTTTAATATGTATTCAGAGTTGTGCAGTCATCACTACATGAATTTTAGAATGTTCTCATCAGCCCATAAAAAAATCCCAACCATTAGCAGTCACTTCACATTCCTCCTTAATCTCCCCAGCCCTAGGCAACCTCTAGTCTGCTTTCTTTCTCTATAGACCTACCAGTTCCGAGCATCTTACATAAATGTAATCATATGATACCTGATCTGTGACTGGCATCTTTCAGTGAGCGTGACTTGGTAAGGTTTATGCACATTAGGACACA